ATCAAGTCCATGCTTACTCATGATGATCACTTGTGTTACAAAGTAGAACCACTTCACAGGGTTTTACTGGGTACATCTTGATGGCAGCAGATTAGTGGGCCTTTCTTCCTTGGGGGCTAAGTTCAAACCCTCACTCTTAGAGGCAAAAAAGCGGAGCACTCGTGCCAAGCACTGGGAATACAAAGTGAATAAAAACTTTCTCCTCTAAAGGCCACAGTTTATATGATATTATATGAACTAAAAGGAAGCCCAGGTAAGACAATTGTTAAGTGCTCAACTGCTAAATTAAAGATCAGGAATTCAAACCCACCAGGCACTCTGCAGTAGAAAGATGAGGCACTCTGCTTCCACAAAAATGTTCAACCTTAGAAACCACGTGGGGCAGTTCTAGCTGTCCTTTGGGTCATGAATCAGAATCTACTCAATAGCAGCAGGTTTGTTTTTGGATATGAACAGAAGGTATGAAAGGAGTTAGAGTTGGGAGGCAGAGGGAAGAAGGAGCTACTCTGGAAGGCTTTCCAGAAGATACACTATGATTATTCTAGATAAATGGTAAAAGGAATGTTTAGGTGAGAAAAAGGTAAACTGCAGTTTCTGATCCCTAACTGCATCACCAGAGCCTTGGGCCATAAAGAGAAGAATGAGACTACTGACAGGAAAAAAAAAATCTTCTAAACAAAATCACTAGAAGATAACACTCAATAACACACAGAAATATTGGTTGTATCTATTGAGTACCTTCACATTACTAAATAAACCAGCAACCAGGTGCCATTGAGTCAATTCTGACTCATGGCAACCTCGTGTGTGTCAGAGTAAAATGTGCTCCTTAGGGTTTTCAATGACTGATTTTTCTGAAGATCACCAGGTCTTTCTTCTGAGGTGCTACTATGTGGGCTTGAGCTCCAATCTTTCAGTTATCAATTGAAGGTATTAACTGTTAGCACTACCATAAAATGACCAGCAAAATTTTCCCTATTGTCTTCAAGAATTTGATAACTATTTGTTAATTTTGCCTTCAAATAATTAAATCTGATAAAACATGTCACATAAAATGTATCAAAAATGCTTCTGAAATATTTTTAAAATAAAAATAATTTGTAATATTTGGAGATTGGATTGCATAATTCCAATCAGATACTTTCTACACATGCATGATATTTAACCCAATATATATAATGCAGGTGTGCTTTAAAAAATTGTTGTGCAATAAACTTAAATACAAAATTTTAAACATATAAGTGATGGAGAACTAATATATATAACTTAACACTTAAAAAACCAAACCAAAACAACACCTTGCCATTGAGTTAATTCCAATTCATAGTGACATGATATAACCTAAAACTTATAATTTAAGATATTTTTCAGGTGAAACTATAGGATGCATTTTGTGGTGGCACCTACTGGTAAAGTGTGAAAATGCAACCAAACTAAAGCTAAGATGGACTAATGAACAGCTGGCAGTGGGGAGACAAATGTGGGAATCAATCCTTATTTCATTTCTTCCCTGTCTGTTCTCCATCTTCCCTTGCACTCGACTGTTAGGATTCTTTGCCACATAACCCTATTATAACACAAGTAATGGAACCTTGTCCTCAGACTTAAGAGTTCAATATATTTTTATCTCTATGTTTTAAGGTTGTGAAATGAAGAAGTCAGAGTGAGAGACAGGCAAGAGTTAGAATGTACATGCTATAGTAAAGTTTCTATAGTTTTATCCTGTACCTAATATGGAAGAGTTGTAATCAAGATTAATATTTGTGGTTTTAACAGAAGGGCTGTGTATGCACAGGGAGACAGCTCGGGGGCAGGAGTGCATGGAGGGAAGGACACAGGGAAGAGGTAACTATGGGGAGGAAGT